CATAGCCTCAATGGAGCTCTCCAGATCTCCGTCTCTATGCCCTCGCTTGAGGTCGGAACTCTCGGCGGTGGTACCATCCTCGAGCCCCAGGGCGCCATGCTCGACATCCTGGGTGTCCGAGGCTCTCACCCCACCAACCCCGGTGACAATGCCCGTCGTCTTGCCCGCATTATCGGTGCAGCCGTCCTCGCCGGCGAGCTTTCTCTCTGCAGTGCCTTGGCCGCCGGTCATCTCGTCCGGGCTCACATGCAGCACAACCGAAGTGCCGCTCCCTCTCGCAGCACCACTCCTGCTCCTCCCATGACGCCCGTCTCGCTGGCCATGACCAATGCCCAGGAGCGATCAGCGTCAACAACGTCGATGAGCGCCGCTGCTATTCAGAGGTCAAAGCGATAGACGAATAACTTTGCATTTGAAGGAGTAGAGGCGAGCGGGTGATAAAAAGTTTACATAGACGAGAACATGTATGAGTATGATACACTACACACATGGTCTGGGATGGAGTGAATGGTCACACAGCATGGAGTTTTTGCATTGAACATTCTGGAAAGATGAAAGTATCCATACATGCATATACAGCCGCCGAAAGATGGCAATATTGAAGATGGTAGTTATGTTAGAGTACCACTTCGCAATTCAATTTTAATCCTTTTTTGTTAAATCATGCATATGTCTTCACCCTTGCCACTGCATCTCCATCAATGGACGTGAACTTGATGCCCTTGTCCTCCATGTCTTTCTTGCACTCCTCCCACTTGTCAAGCATGACTGGCTTTGTCCCTTCGCTGACAATCCACGTCGTATACCCCTCCTGCAGCGCATCCTCGGCCGTTGCTTTGACGCAAAAGTCCGCTGCCAGCCCTACCACAAAAACATCCGTAACGCCCTGCTCACTCAACATGCCCGCGAGTCCACTATCGCTCACCCTAAACGGATCATAAAACGCACTGTACATCTCTACGCGCTCATCCTGCCCCTTTTCGATAACGGCATGGACACGCGAGACGTCTAGCTCCGGAACCAGCTCACAGCCCGGGGTGCCTTGGACGCAATGTGTTGGCCATAACGTTGTTTCGTAGCTCTGGGAAGGATCTTTGGGGTGCTGGATTGTTGTAGTTGATGTGTATGGTGTTGAGGAGGCGTGGTTTGAGGCGAAGGATATGTGGGAGGGTGGGTGAAAGTCTTTTGTTGCGAGGATGAGGGGGAAAGGAAGGGTTGTTAAGTGGTTTATGGGGGAAGCTATTGTGCGGCCGGAAGGGACGGCGAGGGAGCCGGACTGGAGATGTTAGCTAGGCTTGAGTGAGATGAGGGGCAAATAGATGTGGTGATGGATGAGAAGGCGTGGCTTGGTACACTTATACCAACATGATGGTCTCATAGCAAGCGGTCCAAGCTGAGATATGACATCCAACCCCGCGCGTGTTCAGACTGTACATAACGCAAGCTGATATTTTATCGTCCTCATGTCTTTGGAGCATTCCCGCAGTATCCACATAGCTTCGCTTGAAGCCATTCCCAACTCATTCATCCCTCCATGTTCACCTGCGACAGAGAAGATACTCACAGGCGGGCAGAAGTCTTCTTGAAAGTCGACAATAATGAGCGCAGGCTTATACGGTTTGTCGCTCGCCATAATTTCAATCTTTCAACTTATCGTTTGAGCGTAGCGAATGTCTTCAACAAGCGATGTCTTGCAGAAGATGACGATGGAGAAGGGAAGTGATCAACTGATAAGAGGCACCATCTTCCGATCGGCCCCGCTCTTCCGACGGAGGGGTATCGCGTCCAGATAACCGAGCACCATTCACGATTTAAAACAAAAGATTTACACCTCTATCTCTACGACATACCGGTAGAAACACCAGAAATATGAGCAAAAAAAATAGTTTTTATAGGAATAGCCCGATGCGGGGGTCGAACCCGCAACCTTGAGATCGCGTACTCGTAAGAGTCTCACGCTCTACCGATTGAGCTAACCGGGCTCAATCTTGTTTGTTGAAGACGATGCAGGTATTGCGATTCATGGGCGTGACAGGACTGGTTAGTGGTCGACGAGAAATTTTTTAGTGTTAGTGGAGGGAATTGCAGCGTGGAGGGGCAGAGGGGTTATTAAATTCAGTGGGTTTTCAGGGACACCCTGGCCTGATGGCATGTGGAATTTGAGCTACCCTGGATCGTGGATTGAGGCTCTTTGGAAATGGAAATTGAGGTTATGGGATTGGTGTGTCTGTACCAGTGCCTTGTTTGACGCTGACGTTCTTGCTCTTGCTTTTTTTTTTTTTATCTCTGCGGCTTGTTAATTGTTCAGTTCTCTTCTACGGCAAACTGTTGTCACACTTTGTTATCTGTGTGGCATATAAGACGTAATATAACCTCCTACTAACAGATAGTGGAACGTTTTGAGTAAAACGCAGCGATATTCGTACTCGTTTACAAAAGGTGTGGCACATGAAGTTCTGCTTGCTTATCCACTGGCTCAAGCATCCAGGTACGCTCAACTCGCGTGAGTAAGTGCTTACGACAGATCTTGGGTCGACATGCCGGACAAGATCCTGCAAGACTACTAGGTTGCATCTTCCACCTTCAAGAGACTGGACTGGCCACGCAGACACAATACGCAATCCAACAGTCTGTAGAGGAGATTGATGCAACTTGGGGATAAATGAATCAGTTTTATGGCGATGCAGTCTGAATTAAGAACCCCCTCTCTGCAAACTCTCGGATCGTTGACTTAACCGCCAACTTCTTGTCATTATGCCTTAGCCGTCAGCACTACCGCGTAGTAAAACCACTATCTACAATCCTACAAGGATCTCCATCCATGGCCGCGCCTCTTAGTGCATTCCTTCACTCTTTTATCATGGAACGGACTACTCACGACGGAATTCCGTGCCGCGCTTAGGCGCCTATGCACAGCCGTCACTCTGCACCAGTGGCATGCGATGGATTAAATACAGAAGATCCCTCGCTGCATGTTGGGAGCTAAGCAGTTCTTTAGTTTTCTCAAGATGTCGTCCAGTGTTGAGTTGGGCCTTTTGGCTCGTGTGGCGAGCCCACTGGGAATTGCCTCGATTGTTGTCATTGGAGTCATTGCGATTTATGTGATTGACAAGCTTACTGCTGTTCCTTATCCACCGGATATCCCGCTTATAAGAGAACCAAGGGGTGCTCGTCGCTTCAGTCTCCGTACACGATGGGCATACCTGACGGACTGTCAAGCACTCTTCTACGAAGCATACCATGAAGTACAATCTCCCTCCCCTCTAAACTACTACCACTGACACGGCGCAGTATCTCAAGAAAGGCAAACCCGTCGTCATTCCGGGCTTTGGCGTCAGAATAGAGGTGTATCTGCCACAGAGCCAGATGAAAGGCGTACTCAACCAACCTGACGACGTTCTCGATATGGAGCAAGCATTCGCTGAAGTCGATCAAGTTCGATGGTCGCTTGGGCACGAGAAATATGTCGTTGATGCGTGGCAGGGACTTGTTGTAAAGTATGATCTTAATCGTGCGATTGAGATTATCGCGAACAACATGAAGGACGAGCTTCACGAGGTGTTTGATGAGCAGTTTGGTACTGATACGGAGAATTGGAAGAGGATTGATCTTACAAAGACTGTCAAGATGATCGTGGCACAAGCCGCCAGTCGCTTCACCGTTGGACTTCCACTCTGTAAGTCAAGCATCACGCGAATTGTTTTGGAACACTGCTGACGAGCTAGGTCGGAATAAAGAGTACCTGCAGCTTGCGCTCGAGACTAACGACCTTTTCATCATGAACGCTGGTCTCACAGGTGGTCTACCACGTATTCTACAGCCCATAACCGGAACACTCTTCGGCCAAATCGTCAAAACGAAGGTAAACAAGATGAAGAAATGGATCATTCCTCTCCTCAAACACCGCTTCGACAGGATAAACAACCATCCCGTCGAACCGCAGCCGCAGGACCAAGTTCAGATGATGATCAACTACGCTCTGCGCCATCGCCAGCACGAAGTCAACGACATGGAGTCGTTGGCTCGTCGGGTCGTCGCTCAGAACTTTGGATCAATTCACAACACGCAGATCCAAGTTGTCAACCTCATTTTGAACGTGTTGGGCTCGGATGCCGAGTTCAACACGATTGCTACCCTTCGCGATGAGATGGATCGTATTCTTGGTACCGATGACTCTGTGAATTGGACCAAGAGCGGTATTCAAGCTATGACGCGCGCTGATAGTGTCGCGAGAGAGTCAATTCGTTTATGTTCCTTCGGAGGACGCGCTGTGTTTCGCAAAGTCATGGTCGATGACTTCAAGACAGAAGATGGGCACCACGTTCCCAAGGGCTCAATCATCTCCTTCATGGGCCACCCTGCACAAACTGACAACGAGTTCTACGAAGACGGTTTAAAATACGATCCATTCCGATTCTCAAGGGTTCGCGAGACAGCGGCCAACCGCGACGAGAAAGCACCGCCTGTTACGTTTGTCACGACGTCGCCTGAGTTCTTGACCTTTGGACATGGGAAGCATGCGTGCCCGGGACGATTCCTCATTGACTTTGAGATGAAGATGATCTTGGCATATGCTTTGAGGAATTACGATATTAAATTTGCGGATGAGTATGAGGGAAAAAGGCCGCCGAACTATTGGATTGCTGAGGCGAATAATCCGCCTAGTGGTGTGCAGATCATGGTCAAGAGGAGGGAGAGGACGTAGAGATTTACTACATAGTTCTATGAAGATCAAGAGGGGAGGAGTAACTTGAACTGATGTGCCTCGTCAATGCTCCTGACGACCTTTGCAACAATTTTCACTGGTGAGAGTACAAAAGTTGACTACCAATAACTGGACACGGGCCAACAAAACGTAGTTCGTCAGCACGAAGGAGTAGATAGAGCACAATAATTACATTCACTAGCTCAAAGACGGACATCTCCAGTATAGGGTCCGTGTTCAAGAATGAGATATCTCACTCGATACTGCAAGACTTGAACAGTCAAGTTGCGAAGTCTCAGTTGGGGCAGCCACTGACACGGTTGATGGTCGTCAAGCAACCATCTCCCCAATGCTTACTGCCACAGATTCGGCAACCATTGCGTCTGATGTCCTGATAGTCATACCAGATCTGATTGCCCGTGCGAGCACAGGTAGATCTCCCCTGGATGAAGATGCCACAGTAGCCTTGGCATGTACCCGTCTGGGGTCTCCCGCTCCTGACACTAGGTTAGATCCATTCACACAGTTTCTGGTGTCTGATAAGACTCAACTTACCCAGGTGCGCCATAGTTGACATCGTTGTTACGAATCAGTCTGTTGTTGACGGCTTGATCGCAGTCTCTGACAGGAATTGCGCCGCAGAGTCCGCTTCCGTTGCAGTCATAGGAATCACGAGCCTCGAGCTTGCTTCTCGGAACGGGAGAAAAGCCTTCGGCCGTGTTGACGCGGGGAGCAGCGAGGCAGCTGCCCTGAGCGAGAAGAAGGGATGAAGCAATAATGGCAAAGCGCATCTTGTCAAGTTGTAGTTGAGATTCGAGATGGTTGTTTGATATTAGGAACACTGCTGTGAGTGAGGATATCAGAAAGGCAGCATGAGCGGGAGATGTCCTAGTATTTATAGATTTTCATCTCGCTCTAGATTTACATAGTTGCATCATGGACTTCGCATCTTTGCCTGAAGAGTAATGGCTAGACGAGCTTCGTTCATGACTCCCGCGGGACGGGACGACCCAGATAGAACCTCTATATGCCGTGCGAGGGAACTCATAGCCTTTCATTCGTTATTTCGTACTTCAAGATGTGATTTGATGTAATGGAGGGAGGGAACGCCGGATGAGTTCGGGACCGAAGACAAAAGCTCGACCGAGTTGTATCCGCAGAAACCATCCTTGATATGCAGAGCACTGGTTCCACCAATAACAGCATCCTCAGGGACCAAGAAAAATTAAGGTTTTAGAGAACAAAGCTGAAGGAAACTCGATGAAGAGTCCTCTAAACTTAGGCTGAATTACCTATGTACACCTATCTTTTAGGACCAAGGGGCCAAGATCTTTTCGCTCCCGCTGGACTACAAGCAGGAGACTGCAGCAAATAAAAAGGAATCATTCTCTGTAATAGTGTCAACTAGTTTTCAGACCTGTACGTTGATGTGCGGTTATTGTTGAGATGAGAAACTCATACAATCTAGCTTCTTGATATACCATCAACTTTCTATCAATTAATCAATAGCTGGCCCAGATTGAAGAAACTCGTATAGCAGCTAATCTACAACCTCTCGGCTGAAGATCTTCTGAGAAATAAGGTTGCATCCTGGCTCATTGCATAGCAACTAATGCAAATACCCCACATGATTGCTACGCTGCTGAACATGGCCCTTGGCTCCTCCTTCCTATACGACAAGGGCATAAACATAGTCAGAATTGACGAAGGTCCTTCAAGCGGGGGTGATACTGGTCTTCCCCGGATTTCAAGCACATGTGAGATACGAGGTCGCCTCTTACTGGAGAGGATGATACTTAGGAGGGTACCTGGCCACGTCGGAGAATACGACACGGCGAACGGACCATGTACGACATTGAAGGTGAGTGAGTGGCACAAGAGGTATGTGCTGAGAAAGCGCCGAAGATACACGCATACCGGTGGAACATAGCGGTAGGCAGACAATTCTCCATCAGTTAGTTCTTATGATCCGTGATCACTCTCCTAACCGCCATGGCGCCGTCAACGAGGATAGCCGCTGAGGGCACAAGCAAACCCTTTGCTCCCAGCAGAGTTTAGGTATAACTGAGATAGTAAGTAAACGGTATAAAGAACCTTTCATACTGAAAGAACCGCTCGGAGACGCCAATACCGAAGGGGACAATGGTTGGCCCGGCCTCCGAAACCTGGTGCCCAACCACATAAACTTACGGCACAGGAAACGCCTCATGGATTAATCAACCAATCGGAAGATACTCATTGCTCCGGATCTCTTTCCGCTGCGGCAGATACATACGGCCCGAAACTCATGCGTGCCTTGCCTAAGACTATGATCTGCCCCTCAGAATAAGGTGTCTCGGCTGAGCCCGGTCCCGAGCCGCTTCATGAGCTGTTCAGTGGCGTTCAAGACTTCGGTGTGGGTGGCTATGGAGTCAAAATCTCGTGAGGCTAGCGACCAAGAGAACTTCCCGTGAGGATATACCACAAGTTGACATGCCATTCTCGAAAGGTAGGCCACTATTGAAGAGAGATGAAGTAGATATTAACTGCATAGTGTACTGAAGACGAAGAGAAGAATAAGAAGAAAACTAATTGAAAATATCGAGCGTCCATCAAGTGGCTGATCTTGAGGACCAAAAGTTCATATTTCTTTTCTCATGACACAGGGGATCTACACACGGTATTACAAGCAATCCCGTGCCGCCACGTCGATTATCCATGATTACATGATAGAGCCACATGACGTCGTGACAGTCATGGTGGCAACCAGAAGATCTATTTGTCTCCAGTTTTTTTTCTTTTGTCTTTCTAGATCACAACATGTCAAATCACTTACTGAATTGAACGTGAGCTAGAAGTGTTACTTGCAGCTGAGACTTGTGACATAACTTAAGTCAGCACAGAGGACTTGATAAACATGTCACTGAGGGATCATACAGGTCAGAAAATTATGAGCAAGAAGCAAAAAAAGCCTTTTCATTAATGGTGGGTATCTATGTTATTGCAGCCTCTTTCATCATCTGAGGTGTCGCTATCATGTATAATCAATCATCCCATATGCTTCAAATCACCCCAACTCCGCTCATTTAACTCAAACGCGACTCTAAACAACAAGTGTCCAATATTCAACCAGAAACAAGAGTATCCATTAATAATGGAATTGCGGACAGTCCCTCGCAAGTGTTCCAAGGCGAATAATATTGCGAGGCTATCGTCTTCTCGAATAAGACATAGCCGTCTCCTTGGAACGGTACAGTCTCTTATCAACTTTATTCGCATATTGATGAGGATTCACGTGATCCTTTTCTTCACCAGTATAGCTCCCAAGACACCTATCCCCCGTCTTGTTCAAGAGGTCGCTGTTGCGATCAGCAGCAACAGTGTCGACTCTATCGCAGACAACCAAGAGAAAGTCCAGCGCGCCTCGAAGGATAGAAGTGCGTTCATTTGCGTCGCGGTGAACGTCAGCCCTTGCAAGACGGCGTTGTATTTCCAAGTCTTGTGCTGCAAATGGTGAATCTGGATCATCGATTTCTTCCTCATCAGACCTGTCTTGTGTGTCCTCATTGCTATTTTTGCTAAAGAGCTGTGACAAAATGTTGAAGTTGAAATGAGACCTAGACTTGCGCTTGGGCCTGGGCCTGGGCTTGGACTCGTCACCATCGGCTGCCTCGTCTAGTTTGAAAGTCACCTTTGCGCCTTTTGGGGTCTTGGGTGCTGGGACAGGCTGAATAGGACTGTCTTCCTCGGTTCTATCAAGAACTGTGCCGGCCAGAGAAGAAGTTGGCTTGAGACAAGACTTTCCAGGTAAGAGAGTGGCATGCTTGGGTTGGTTGACTGGTACCTGGGGTTTGGACCTGCTACCCATCTTGAAGGCACTCATGCAGGAAGCCATGCAACCCATGGTACCAGTCTTTTCTCTCTTGACAATTTCGGCATCTTTTGTGGAATTTGCCCCAGTAGGAGAGAATACTACTGTCTCTCTAGCTTCGGGAACTAATTCATCCTCAATGTTGCATAGAACAGCAGATTGAGGCTGGGCTACCGAGTTGGTGATAGTGACCACGCCAGACTTGACTTGCTTAATGTCAAGAGATTCCATAACTGAGCGGGGAGTCACGCGCCAGACAGCCTGACGTGCCAACTTGGCTACCTCTTCTTCCTCAGAATTGATACCTCTGACAATGGAAGCAGTGGAATCCCTTTCGGTCTCCGAGCTCTCCCCAGAAGACGTCTCTTCGTCTTCATTCTGGGCTTTATCAGGCTCATCCTCTGACTTGTTTGCCACAGTGCTGAGTCTTGCCATCAAATATTCAGGCTCGACACCAGAGGTAGAGTACTCTCCCGTCCAACCAAGTTTAGACATACTGGTGATAGGGGTACCAGGATCGGACTGAGAGTATTCTCCTGTCCAATCAAGCTTAGACGTCCCATTGACGGGGGTACCAGGATCGGAGTATTCTCCTGTCCAGCCAGATTTAGGTGGTGGTTTGCTTGAAACAGAGATGCCACCACAGTTCTCAACTGAAGTCTTGGGAGGAGGAGGAGAGGGAAAAGAAATGCCAAAGATGGTGTTGCTTCCAGGTGTTGCATCAGTGTCTCCTTGTTCAGATGGTGTAACAGATGTCTGGGATGATTCAGATACAGTAGATGCTGACGTGGACACAGATGGTGTGATAGAAACTGTGTTCTGTCGTAAAGAGGATGCCAGTTGGAGTGGTAGATCAGAGCTGACGTTGAAATCCTCGGCAACCCCAAGTGGGTTGTTATTGGTGATAGTTGTGCTAGACATTGTGACAGGATGTAAAGCGCAGAGCTGTAAGGTTTGATGAGGTGATGAAGAGTAGTAGAGAGCGAGATCGATGAGTGTAGTGCCGAAGAGACAGATAAAGTAAAAGAGAAGTCAAGTAGCGGATGATCCAAGACTTCAGTAAGCGGTGCACACAATTTGAAAGATAGCAGCGAGTTGAGATTGAAGGACAAATTTCAAGAGTGCTTGCAGTATGCTTGGAAAATGTGTGTGATGCTAAGGAGAAGTTTCCGAGGGAAAGAGTGGCACGAAGAGGGAAAATTTATAGACGAAGGGGATCTGAGTTCTACAGCTGTGCCCTTAGCCCTGATGGTATCTAAGAGGCGGAATTGAGAAGCATAATGGTTAAGTTTGTGAACAGGCTACTACGTGTCGAATGAGAGGCCGAACAGATATGTCACGAATCAATATGATAGGTCAATTTGGGAAGTTTCTTTAATACGTGCACGCTGCGGTCGATGGTGCCAGAGTATAAGAAAATACGCCAATAAGACAATACTATTTGGAAGAACATGATAAGGACCAAAGAAGCACAAGAGTCAGCCCGCTTTGTTTTACAAGAGAGGAAACGAGAACAATAGGGATGTGGGAGTCCGTTCTCTTATACAGCTTCACCTTAAGATCACGAGTGTCATGATGCCTTTGTACTGAGAGTTCCGATCCTCTGATCGGTGTAAACCTTTCACATAGTATAGAAGCCACGGTCATGAGTCACTAGCAAAGTAACATCGAAGTATCTGTGGGTGAAGTAAGTACAGAGGGGTAGTTCCATGGGTAGGACGATCATATAGCGTTCCTATTGTTACAAGTCGTGGAGCTAGACGAGATATGGGACGAATGCGCGGAAGGTTTCACGCAGAGAGCGTGACCAACATCAACGAGGAACACATAAATCGAAGTCTCAAGACTCTGAGAGAGCATATTGCTTGGCTGTGAGGGTAGTAAGTAAGTTACTTTCTTAAATTATAGTTGTGATTGGTCGTTGCCTAAAGGATAATTGACGGGTCATAAGTTGATAGGACAGCTCTCCCCTACTGCACAGCCCCTCCTACTTCACCAAAACTAAACAGAGAGGGCACCAGAGTAAGAATCAGATTCCTTTTCACTCTGTTAAAGTAGACGTAACGTGGCAAACCCTTAGTTGGGGTGAACAATCTGAGGCTCTAAGTTTGTGGGAGCCTCGTCGTTTGGCGTGTATACAGTCTAATTGGGCACTCGTTTTTCATCCAATTACCGGTGAGATGGCCGAGTTGGTTATGGCGCCAGGTTAAGGTTAACCTTAACACCAATTTCCTGGTGGAGCAATCCTCCTGGGTTCGAGTCCCAGTCTCATCAAGATTTACTTTTTGCGTTGTATTCCTTTTTACATCATAAATCACATCTATTGTATTTTTTATCTACTAAGTGTCTATAGAGCTGCGTTTTACCGAAATTGGTTTGAGACGAGGACTTCTATGACTTTAAGTATCTATCCCCAAGCTTAACCTTCTCCTCCCACTGTTCATCGATCGTGATTTGTTGTCGTCTCGACATGCTTTCACGGTACCTTCTGAAAGATTCTTGCTGATCACGCCATCTTCTCATTTCTTTCCCGACGAATGAAGAGATAACATCTGCGCACTCAGAAACCTTCTCCATGGGTATCAAGTGGCCACAGTCAAGAGTTTCTTCATGAACTCTACCAGCAGCTGCGCCTCCGCTGCCCCCAACTCCCGTGCCTGTCGTCAGCATTTTCTCCTGTCGTCGTTCCGGTGATGAAAACTCTGATTGCTTTCCGAAGACAAACAAAGTACTTGGTCGAAGGTCGGATAGGTGGCGAAATATCTTTGGTGGCTCTGGGCGATGGAATGGGTACTCAGGACAATCTTTATTCTGTTCTGCGTCTTGATCGTTGGATGGTTCCCAGTCTCTTGCTAAGTATGTCGGTCGAACGAAGCTGAAGAGCTCTTGGTGCTTTGACGTCATGAGAGTAACTCGCTCATCTGGACTTGAACCCTCTTCTTTCGGATAAATATCAGTCGGAACATCTCGAAGCCCATGTTCTATCCAAAGGTCAAGAACACGAGGATCCCAAGACTGAAAAAACTTGCTCTTCTTGAACCTTGCTACAGCATCTTCTCTTGATGGCCAGATATCTCGCCTCTTTGTAGAAAGACCGGCCAGGGAAATGCTTGGGTTTGGAATTTGGATGATGGGGTCAATAAGTACTAATGAGTCCAGGAGCCGAGGGTGCCAGAGTGCTAGCTGTGCCCTTTCTTAAGTTAGAGGTATTTTCCAAGTGTACCAGTGTCAGTGATAGCTACTTACAGCTGAGTTCCACCCATACTATGTCCAATACCGACGATGGGATGAGGAATGTCTCGTTGATGCTGGTTGATGAGATTCATCAGATCTCTTGCGTGGTCAAACCAACTTACTATGAGATGTGAGTCATGGCAATGGTTCCTAGTAGAGATTATACTCACGATCATTGCCGAGCACCCTTTGGTTCATAACCCCTGATTGACCTTGATTCCATACATCCGCAATCCATATCGATCGTATCCTAAGATCTTGTTGTCTTGCTCGGTCATACAGCTCATCCCACATCGGCTCATATAGTTCCTGACAAGTCAGCTAGACTTTTATACTTAGATCATATAGCTTCGCTACCTTTGGAAAACCATTTGCATGAGCACCGATAATTGTCACATCACCAGGTTGAGGACTGGGGTTGTCGTGAGGGACGTATTGCTTCACCGCAAGCTTTGGTATGTCTTCATTGCCATTTGCCGTCTCAGCGAGATATTCCCTTGAATGACTGCAGTCAATTGTATGCTCAACAACCCGATAATTCGACGGCGTTGACAAATATCTGGCTCGGTTTGTTGGCAAGATATGCCGCCTGATGTACGACGCCCGAAGGTAGGGACGTAATATGAGCCTAGACCACATTGAATTATTAGTTTGGCAGTATCCTAATGAAGGACCGCTAAAAAGCGAAATGCGACGTTGATATAACAAACTGACGGTCGTTGAAAGACATTGGTTGTCTTACATAGGTGGTCCAGCGGAGAGAAGATAAGCTATTCCAAACAGGGTAAGGAGCTAACGCCGACCTCGGTAGCTCGGTTAGGATCTACGCCCTTCTTGTCAAACACAAGATCTACAGGCTTAAGCCGATGATACCATGCTTGTCACGCCCTTTGAACGGAACTGAATCGAAATGCAAGAGAAATTATCACTCACATCATAGTCTGTAGACTCCTAGGGCCTATCTTCAAATTTACACAAGCTTCCTGGCAAGTGATAATGGTGACTGCAAATCTTTATGATTCTCTGGGTGCACAAACACAGGGAGAGCTTCGGGTTTCCAGGTTTTCAATCTCATGTATGACCCCAAAACTAGTCAAACTGCCTTCCTAGTGTTATGAAGACCCGTTTAACCCTTATAACCGATGTAGCTTGACCTTGAGTGCACGAAGAGCACTGGACAGCTACTACGCCACAGATTTCATACCAGAGTCGCAATCGCTGCAGCAGTCGCCCAAATACCCTGTAGAAAGTCCCCTTGGCAGTCCAATCCAGCCAAGTAACGCTGAGCAGCTACACTGGCGATGGTCGATGCCACGAAGCACGTTGCAACTTTGCGTGGCAGTCCTTGCTGTAGAACGGCAGTTCCAACGATAACATCGAAGACAGGGATGACACGGGAGAGAGTTGACCCATCATCGGGACTTCGATCATTTTGATATTGATAGAAAGATGCTGTCGATGTTGCACCATGGCTAAATCGCGAGGCGCTGCCATAGAAGAGGAGGAGTGCCAGGGATATCGGTAGATACTTTTTGAGCAACGAGAAAGACATTTTTGCAGTATTTATGTTTATTTAGGCACTTTTAAATATGAAAAAGGCAAAGAAACAGGACAGACATCGAGAATATTGATTCTAGAGGCGGCTGCTCATGATAAATGATCTTCTCTTGAGTAGCATCGCTAGGGCTGAGTCAGACGACTTGCGAATGGCTGCAACTCACAAGGATGAACTCCACACGGAATGAGACACTATCGCGATACGATCGGCCATCATGATAATTACTAATCAAGCCGTAACACCAATAAACTCTTTCATTGAAACAAGAAGATTGAGTTCAATATCCCATGTGAATGCCAAGCCACGGCAAAGTGCACGCATATTACACTAAAGTGGCTTTTGTTGACATCCAATGAGGAAACCCTGATTTCTTATCACCGGAAATAACTATTGAACTCAAAGTCCCGGAATGTGAAACATCGCAGCCCGCGGGCATTTCAGATCCTTAGACTTTTTTAATATACACGTCATCCCGTTCGTTCCGAGGCATCTTCGAGTCTATTCTGCAACATTTCACCGCCTTAATTCTGGTCTCCAAAAGCCATTCAGTACCTCGACGCTTGTGAGAACAAAACATCAGAATTTACAGAATAGATCGGTCATGGCAGCACCGTTTTGGGGTCCCCAGACCTCTTATTTAAAGTAAGTTCTTGGGTCCGTTGGAATTGAGAAGATTCACTGACTTTTGTAGTTTTTGTGAAGAGGTAAATACCGCAATGGCCTCCCTTGGCTGAAATGAAGTTAACGTGTCTTTAGGATTATGTTATTACACGGTATGTCGCTGAGTTTATAAATACTCTTAGCAGTTTCACATATGGTAAGTGATGTTACCATGGGCTGGGATCTGCAATTGACTCTGTTACTAGTGGCATATGGACTCTATGGCTTGTTGACATCGCCAAAATTCCCGACTGGGCCGCGCTTGGCCTCATATTGTGGACTAATAGGCGTGGGGATATGTTCAGCTGGATATCACATGACCTTGAAGTATCATACTCAAATGTGTAAGTGTACTTTTGCTTCAGTGAGAGGATGGCCTAACAATTGCTAGCTGATGAACTGTCAATGCATCTTCTCACTACACCCCTCATCTATCGTCTTCTCAGCTTCAAAGCCAGCCCCCAGAAGACTCGAATCGTCGGGATCGTTCTTTCAACATTGTTCACGATTGTCATGGTCACTCATATGGTCATGGATGAGTTCCTTTTACACGCCACTACGTTTGGCTTGGGCATTTATGTCATTGCCACTCGTGTGCTGAAGGTCATTCCTCAGCAGGTTAAGGATCCGGTTATCAGGAAGAAGTTTCAAAACATGGCTATTCTCGGACTTGGTATGTACCACAAAGAGCGTCTACCCATTGAATGGGACTGATGATGATAGGATTCTTCGGCTTTGGATACATCGTTTGGCTGATTGACGAATTTGCTTGCCGATACTTAACAAGTGCAAGACATGCAGTTGGCCTACCCTTTGCGTTTCTTCTGGAACTTCATGGATGGTGAGTTGTATCCAGCTTCATGACCTTGAGTCAAGCTAACATCTGTCAGGTGGCATGTGTTCACCGCTATCGGAGGCTATACTGCCGTTGCGGTCATCGATGTCGTTACGACAGGGGAGGTGATCGAAGACCCTACAGACACCTTTGCTTGGCCTGTTCCTTTTGCGGCTAGGCTGATGTCTGGACCTACTGGGTCAGTGAAACAAGGTTGATTTTGGCGAAAGGGATAGTTTTACCAAGATCCAGAGGCTAAGTCGTTATGCAGCCAGAGGCCGGCGAGTCCAACGAAGTGACGCTTAGATCGGACTTATCAGTTGGTAGGTACTTACGAGCTATAGACTCGAGGATGTACCAAAATATATATAGACTGACGTAGAGCTATCAATCAACGCTTGAATCACACGCCTGACCAAATGATTCCATGTTCCAGTGGGGCCTTTGACCCGGCATGAATCCCAACCTCCAAGGGTCAACAGTCAAATTTAGTTCCGGAAGAACGGATGGGGAACCTGGGATCATGAGATGCTCAGGAATTCGAGCTTGATGAGATAATAATATGAAGACATCACGAATTTGGCTCTATTGCGGAGAGGAATCGCCGCAGCCGGCAATTGAAGATGCCGCAGAAGCCGCACTCGCGCACAAGACGAGGCCGGAATCAAGAAAGATGCGGATAGAAAGACCCCCGCGGGGACCCCGCAAGATCAATAAGCTTATCATGAGATTATTGCGGATTTGCGGATGGACGGAAGGGCAAGGGTTGAGAAGTGTTCATCATCACCGTATGATGCACTGCTGCTTTGATGATACGACAGTGAAATGACAAAAGAAAAGTCGGGGAAGATTCAGATGTCGCAATTCAAGATCTGCACTCTGAAATCTCTGTTAGCTTAAGCGTCATGATAAACAATTCAGAAACCGGTTCAAATGCCGATATCGCCCGACTCACCACTCCCGTTCTCCCGGGTTGAGTTCATTAGTGCCAAGCGATAGCTGCCCAAGAGCACCAGTATTAGCGTCATAATATTCGTACACTTCTCCGATGAGGCTCCGCTATGAATCAAATTCTCAAATGACATCTCCGTCCTGTCACAGGCTTATCCACTCGACCGGGCCAAGACTAACAAAACAAGTTACGACTCCACGGCTTTCTTATCTATGAGCTATTAAGCATAAATTACCTCTCCTTGGATCAGCGGTGGAGCAAAGTGCGGGATGCATTGCCGAAATGGGGAAACAAGCTTAATCCATCCCCAAAGGCCCAATTTCTCTGTATCATTTGCATTCTCAACTCTTCGAATTTTTTATGGCAGAAGGAGTCAAGAATAACTAAACAAGATGCCGCTGAGCCTCATCTGCAGGTGTGTCGTATCCCGACTTTGCACCGCAGGCCACCATATCCGCATCGGGAAACATCCTAGAGATAAGGATGCTCCTTGAACTGGTCTAGACTCTTGGCTCTGGAAGCTAGTACAGTGGATTACGTACGGAGTTTTCTCGACATTGCTCGGCATGGTGGGAACGGGGCGGTTTAGAGTGTCAAAGAATGCCGAGACCAAGATGGGAATTTTTCACCGCAGGGGAGGATAAGAACGGGGAGTCCCGCTGAGGAAATTGAAGGGTTCTTTTTGGTGAGTGTGAATATCTGTTTGCTTTGAGAGTCGCCGAAATGGCCAAGATGACTATTGATCTTGCGAGCCCTTTGGCTTATACACCTGCTGAGACGGCGGAACTCATATGTCGAGCCGGTGTGAAAAAGGGAAGATCGAGACCGGATAAGGTGTTGCTGTCTGGTATCTCTGGTGGATGCATCCTGGCTTTTGGATGTGCTGTTTCATTAACGGCCTTGACGGCACCATGGTATCAAGAAAATGCACCTGGTCTGATCAAACTCATTGGAGCCATCGTCTTTCCTTTGGGCTTGGTTACCGTGATATTGACGGGAGCTGATCTTTTCACATCAACAAATCTGGTAGGTTGACTCATGTATGAAGACAATGGAAACACCTTATCTAACGATATTATTAGTTCACTTTCGTTGCCGTTCTCAATGGAAGATTATCGATATGGAGGATGTTACTCCACTGGTTCTTGTGTTTCTTCGGCAACCTAGGCGGTTGTCTCTTTGTCATGGCCATCATTGTCGGATGTAAGCAGCCCCTTCCTACACCAACCTCGAATCACCTCCTAACCATATAATTCACAGACGGAGGCATCTTTGACTCAGATCCATACCGCGAAGAAATCATCGCTTTCACAACAAAGAAGCAAATAACCCCCGAGGCCCACCAGATCTTCCTTCGTGCCATTGGCTGCAACTGGCTTGTTTGCCTAGCATGTTTCCTCGGTGTACAAGCAAAAGACTTGACATCAAAGGTAGTTGGAATGTGGATACCCATCTTTGCCTTTGTGGCTTTGGGTTTTGACCACGTTGTTGCCAATATGTTCTTTATGCCTTTGGGTATCTGGATGGGAACACCTGGCTTGACTGTTGGGCTTTATATCTGGAAGGGTAAGTTTAGTATGTCATTTGCCTTGAAACATCTTTACTGATATCTCTCAAGGCATGATCCCTGCCCTGTTTGGAAACATCCTTGGAGGCAGCTTATGCTGCGGCGTATACTTTTGGTGGATGTATCTTGCAGACGTTGACGACGAAAAAGAACCTCAAGGCAAAGGTGTTTTGCATAATCATGGACATGACAGTCCTTCAGACGAGGAGAGCCAGATGGAGTCTCGATAGAAAAATACTTGTCAGCAGGACTGACCAAGATAAAATAGAGTATAGACCTAAAGGGAGGAGAGAACTACAAGCACCGGCACGGAAAAGACATAGAGTAGAATATTTAATGAGCTGTAATATATTTCATGTACATGATAGCTTTTGCCATTGCGGGAGAGGAGGATTCCCTGGTGAATCAGGGACGTTACATATTAGACTAGGTCATGGGTGTGATTAAGAAGAAACTACCTCAAGGTGGGTGCTAAGGACATATAGCAAAGCAATTTATTCATACATAAGGCGGTTTAAATACTTCTTGTGGTTCGAATAGCAAGGCCTTTCACTCCCTGGAATATTTCCTCCTGACCGTTCGCGAGGCGAATTCCAGTTATTTCAACCACACTTCCAAGTTCGATACTTCCGCTTTCCCAATTAATAGCCATCCCAATAGCAAGTCAAAGCAGGACTAATAATGTTCCAATAACCCGAGATATCACTATGCTTGTCAATGCCGCCTACTCTACCCTTGATGATGTCTTGAGTTTGATTACCGGTCGTGGTGGACTCAGAAGGGCATTGATCTTCTTAGAAGCCTCAAGTTGATCCTTGATCAATGGCGATTCTTTGAGAGTCTGAATGATGGAGAGAATGAGTCTGAACCCATCAGGCGTGTCTCGAAGCCTGAAAATAGTTTCCATAGCATCGCGAGTTGTCCGTCCAAATTTGACAAACCTGTCAAGATGCTGATCCCATCTTGACTTGTATTCCAGTGTCTCAGAAATGGTCCGGTCTAAAAGCCCCTCAGCCCGAAAGGCCATGCGAATTACTTGGTCCAAACTACCCTGGCCATTCTCCGCATTTTCAGGTCGTAGTGTCTCTTCTAAATCGGAGACGAAGGACTTTACTTGAGAGAATGACTGCTGAATAGCTTTAACTGTTGGCTGTGGTGTTTGAAGCTGCTCTTCAAAGCTGTCCCAGTCACTGGACTTGGTCTTAAGTCCGTTAAGAATGCTGAGAATTTTGTCCTTAACTTCGGAGTCCAGTAAAGGATCGGGCAGTTTAGCTCGCTTGGCCGGCGTCATGGCCTGTTCTGGTTCGGCAAATCTTTTCAGTTTGCCTTCCGCTAGAAGCGACTCGAGATGAGCTTCCATCCCACGCCATTCAGGGCAGAGAGTCTCATGGCTTGTCCATCGCTCAGAGGAGGGAATGCCCAGGCGATCTGCGATTCTGTTGAGCTCATCTGCCCTGGTAGCGATACTCTCTCGCAAAGGAGCATCAAGATCTTCGCAAAGCTGGAAGTTTTGGGTATAGGCCTTCACTGCTCCAAAGCACCGCTCGACCCTTGAAGCCAAGAATTGAGTATCATAATACTCGGACCCGACATCTGGGAAGACAGAACCAATTTCCCGCGCTAGACCAGTAAGAGCCGTGATCGTGTTTGTTATGCCAACATTCCAGTAGCAAGCACTGGGGACGCCATGAAACTCGGATGACGGACTACTCATTCGACTCGAGAAGAGCCATTGCGGGCCACCGATATACCGAAAAGTGTCATCGTCTTCCGCACGATAGTGATAGCTGGGAAGCCCCAATGTCCGTATGTCGTCCAAACAAGCCAGAGTGAAAAGATCGGAGGTGGGCCTCGCAGCTTCTGCTATATCTTGAGGGAAGACCATACTCGAGCCTGGCATCGACGCCGGTACGAGGTGGAACCTGAAGGTAGATGGCACTTGGGGATAACGAGATCTGATCTTCAAATACCAGTCGCGCATGTCGGCTGTGTCTATACGAGCCCGGTTCGAGCTCACTTTGAAGTCCTCGTCCCCTCCTTCAGTGTCTCTGGAATGGTGGTACAATGCAAACCGCGATGGATGAATGAAGGCTGTAAGGTGCTTATTTTCCACAAATCTCAGCATGTGTGGGAAGTAGATGATGAACATTCCGAGAGGAGCCTTCTTGATGCAGAATGTCTTGCTGGTAAAGAACCGAACAAACCCCTCCCTCTCATGACCGTATGACTTCTCTAAGTCAAAATAGATGATTGTTGCTGCGAGTGCAAGGTTCAGAGGAATATTGTCGCTTGGATGGAATCCGAGAAAGTATTTCATAGCTGCGACCATCTCCGAAGGGAATTCCAGCAAGGCCATTGGAGGCCACCTCAGCTGGTAGTGTAGAGTATCGTAGCGTTTGCCATCGTGAATAGGGCGGCAAACCATGGGTTTGCGCTCTTGTACTTCTGACGAAGGAAGAGTCATGGCAGTACCCGCAGTACCTAAGCCCACCTCAACAAAAGAATGTTCCCGTCTGACGATAGCGGAGAATTCCCTTGAATGACTTGTTCCAGGGAAAGAATGAAGCCCGCGTTTGACGTACGAGATATTGCCTTGAATCAACATATTTTCAATCCAGATAACGTCGTGTCCATGGGACAACTCTCTCGAGAGGGTTGACAAGTCACAAGGCGCAGTGTTGTCTGTCTCCAGTAATTCGTCGGAAGTAGTTGTCGATTCAGTACTATCTCGTACCATGAAAATGGGCTGGCAATCAAATGCAGATACTCCTACGAACACAGCATGGATTCTTCTTTCGCGTGACACGGGCGTGGTAGAGACTGACAATCCCAGGAAACGTTTAATGTCTCGGCCCTTGTTCTTTGCTTCCTTGCAAGCTCTGGAAAGGATCTCAAACATTAGATGTTTTTCTGTCGATGATCGAACAACTTGTTTGGCCGAGCTGTCCTGTCCACCTTCGATAGCGGGATTCCATATCACGCTCTTCCCAGTTCGCAAATTCTGGTCTCTAGAGTCTCCCCGGACATTCCATGTTGGATGGAGATACTTCGGTGATTCCGGCAAAGTCAACCATTTCGTTTTGCTAGATTCTGTCTTGTAGTCGAGCCATCGTTGCTCGTCCATGAGCTCTTCATCTTTGCCACCTCGATTTTGGAAGACAAGAAACTTCTCACTTTCTCGAAACTCATTTTCTTTCCCCTTGAGTCTGACCGTTGGCTTTGCGAGATTCAGGGCAGGTGATTGTTGCGTGGAGCTTGCCATGGTGCTAGATTTGAAGCTCAAAGGCAGTCTTCTTCCCTAATAGATTTCTTGTTGCTGCTTGAATTTCGCGTACCCTGATCAGTATAGCGACGAGCTTTCAGTAAGGACTGATTAGTTCACCGTGCTCGGAATGCACTGAATGAGCATTGATATATGTTGGTATGAGACTGTAGAGTAAAGGATGCTGAAGAAATACTATAACGAGCACTTAAAAGTGCAGATCCCAAAGGTGTTCTGGTCTGTCGGCATGCAGTACCACTGGTGACAAATATAGAGGAGTGAAGAGAGGGTAAGAGGAGCGCGATAATCGCTTGGGATCGTAGTCAACTTCTGGTGTGGCGGGAAGTATCGGGGCAAGTGTCTGATGGTTGACTCTTGAGAAAGGCATTAGCTACCATAAGTAGAAGGTCTCCGGACAGTCTCTTACGGGACAACACAAAGCGCGGGATTATGAGGCCGCAAGGTTTTGAATAAACTCGAAGATAGGATAATGGGGAGTCAGAGACTAATGAAGCTTAAGTATCAATTAAACCAAGGGCTACCATAGGGTGAATGTGGCAGTGTAAGATGCTATCGTCGTGATAAGGGGAGAAGTGGAGGAGAAGGATAAGAGGAAGAATAAACTTAGATGAAGTTTCTGGCAAACATCCAGACTGATTAATGAGTGATGAAGGGCACGTTATTGATCAAATGCAATAAGCCATATGTCCGAACTAAACTCGCGCTCCCTTACCACCCTGATATCATGCGAGACCGTGAATCATGGGCCTTATACTCCGCGAAACTCCAAGACACATGAAAGCGCCCCAATCCCGGGTTCAATACAATTCCCAAAAAATCAATAGCTTCAGAAATGCCCAGCTCCCACAGGCCTATTGCCGACCACCAGACAACCGTAACACCTAGTCACCCTGGGCAGTCTGAATCGTCGGAGGTGCCTGCAGGCGCCTCTCTCCAGCAGTCATATCTCTAATATACGCCAAGTAGGGCTGAAGTCTCCTGTCAATGATACCATTATGTCCACAGATTCTTTCAACTATTGTTCTAGTATGCGTGACCTCATGAGCCGACAGGACAGAATTTCGAACGTCGATACGATGTCTGTTGAAGATTTCGTGCTGCATGAGTGCGTTGAGAAAGTTTGGAGTTTGAAGTTGTGGTGGCTGATTCATTACCAGCATGCCAACGTTTCTCAAATGCGACAAAATACTAGAACTGTTAGCATCTTATTTGTTATGTATAGGCGAGCACCCTACGCCATTCGATTCTCGCCACGGAGGTTTAGTCTACTGATGAGAGGGGTGTTCATCATGAATGGCGTGTTGATAAGTATGATGTAGTTGGCGCCCTGCTCATTGTAATAAAGATCCTCGACGATGCTTTGGAGTACCCTGACGACCCGTGCAGCGTGCTTGAACAGCCGTGCCATGAGGTATTCGACCTAACACAAGTTAGTATCCATGTAGAACAGAGACATTTGCCGTTTTACCTGTCCATAAGTCTTGGACACTTTGGGATCCTTGAAAGTAAGTGCTACTTCCATGAGCGTTCTTGCTGCAATACCAAGGACCGGTGACTGTCTGCTCTTTATATCTTCCGCCTTTTAACTCAGTCAGCGAAGTGCTTATTCTCTCACAGATGAAAACTCACATTGACAGGCGAGTCATGGTTCCTGGCCCTTTTCTCGACCATCTGATCAGTAGAGTCGAAATGATCCAGTTCTTCAACAACTTGAAGAGCTATGTCACCTAGTTTATAACATAGGCTCCCCAAAAGTTCGTTGGTGTCAGACCGGCTAAATCAGATGTTAGTATATGAAGCAACAACAGTGGGCTCTATCCTTACTATCTGAAATAGTCTTTCTGGGAACGAGTTAGTTGAGACAATAACAATTAAGGAGACTCATTTTCCTACCGCGTGGCATTTTTCGAAGCCCATCTTTCGGCGAAGGAGCTCATCTAGCTTTTCGCACTTTGACTCATCGCCCTCGAAGCTGAAATATATTAGAATGAGGAAAAGCTGAAAAGATGGAGAAATCTTACTGCTCCAGCATAGATAGCTTGTCAAAAAAGTCAATGTTCTTCTTTTCACATTCAGTAATTGGCTGAGATCCAGCCGATCCAACGTTGCATCGAAGTTCCTGAAAACACCACAGCATTCTACCAAGCATCATAGCCCAGAGAGCAACTATAAATGTGTCAGGTCCCGTCCGAGAAGAATAGCTGATATTTTTCTTACCCCTCCCTCCGATTGTTGTAACGTAGGTAGCTATATTGGAGTCTGGTTTATATACAAGGCATTGTGCAGACCTGTGATCCGTGGCAAAATTTCGAAGACGATAGAGAAGCATCGAGAGGTTGGTGTTCAAGATATCCAGGGCTCTAGCCATGAGGATCTGCTCCGTGTTCTCAAGGATGTACTCGTGGGTGACGCCAACGTTCAGCCAGTGCTTTGATCGAGGGGCGTCTAACTCAGTGACGAAGTGGAATTGCTACAAGAATATTAGTTATCACCCACGGCAACGCATCATCGATCTTACAGCCCGAATATCCTAAAACTAAGATTAGATCAAACGTTTAAGGTGAGAACAACGGGCGCCACATACCAATAAATGATCGGCGCTCGGGTTGCGCATTTGTATACTATTGACTTGGTAGCTCAAGACAACACAACAGCGTCGCAGCTGTTCAAGACCTTGGTCGTCGATGATTCTCTCTTTTGTAAACTTTTGTGGCCGGGTATCAGGGATGGGGACGAGGTAGACGATGCCAAGCTGCTTCTGGCTTTGAGCAAGCCATAACCAAAGTTTTCGCCAGACGGTATACCGAGATTCTCGGCTAAACAGTCGTTCCATTTCGCAGGGCATGTTGCGCACCCTGGTGAGGGCACCAGAGGATGGCCCTGCGTGAGACATCCTTATTAGGGATATGGGCGAAAGGGGAGAGAAACTGGATGCGAGGGATGGTCCAAAAGACTTTTCACGGAATTGGACAAGGAATTTATGTAATTAGGGCATGTTGAATTCAGTCTTTGATAGAGTTTTGCTCGGCAGCGTGATGCTGAGGGTTCGGGTATCGTAACTTTATATTGGTGTTGACTGGACATCGTGAATCTGGGAAAGCTAGATGTTAACTGGAACCAATGAATAAACCACAAGGTTCGCACAAAGTTGATCACACAGAGTTGATAGAAATATCGTGACTCGCCAGTATTGAAAGCTTGTGATGATATTCTGAACCTAACTTTTACGTATCCACTTCTCGACAACAGCATGTATCTCATCACTGTTCTTCTCCATGAAAAGCATATGCCCATTCCCGTGAATACCAACAGCTCCCAACTCAATATGGTCCGTCTTCGAACATCCCGCCTGTCTATAATATGCAGCTGTGCAGTGCTCATAAGGCATATGGTATGATGCCTCGCCTGTGACAATAAGAATAGGAATGTCCATCAGGTTAACCAACTTTCGGGGCGAAGGTTCATCTGCCTGAAGTATACACTCCGTAGACAAACTATCCTTCTGAGCATGAACCTTTTGAACAAGTTCCTTCTTCGGGTCCTGCACAGGAGGGTCATATGTGATAGGAACATCCCATAGACCCCATGGCCTAGGAAACTCTCCACCAAACTTGAAAATCTCATCTTTGAACGGAGGCCCAGCAGCTTCCAAGAGAACAATATTCTTCGTAAGCTTCGGCCTCAGGTCAGCGATCAAAGTAGGCATAAAGCTTCCCTGACTATGTCCCAGAAGAACAGCCGGTTTCCCAATCCTATCCAATAAGGCTGCACCAGCTGCCTGAACAGAAGTCTGCTGATAGGTCGTGTTATCAACAAACTCCACATTCGAGCTGTAAAACGCGTCAAACACTGGATCACCCCGAACCCCAGAGCCAGGCCATTGGGTATGGTTCACAGCCTGAGGCCAGAGCATATGCGTCTTCGAATCAGTAAACGCAACCTCCACAGCCTCGGCCGAAAGAGTGCTGAGCTTAGCAGCGCCTTGTCCAGGCATCCAAGCAGATCTCCCCCGAAAGGTCTGATCAACAATGTACAACTCGTAACCCTGCTCAATAAACCTAGAGGCCCAACCAACTCCGCCGTCGGGCTTGTTCAGGAAATTCTAAACGTGGCGAAATGTCAACACGGCTTCCGAAATTCCACGGAGATTGAACGTACCGTGCCTGTCTGCGCCATACCGTGAATCATAACGATAGGCGTGTCTTTCCAGGCTCCCTTCACGGGGGCGAGTTTCTCAACATACATCTGGTCCCGAAAAACATGGCCACCGTCACCGTCATCGTCGTACCGCCCGCCGACGTAGAAGAACGATCGTGTAGCGGGTATTTCAGAGCGCACGGCATCGGAGTATTTTCCGATCGTCGCTGCGATTACAGCAGTGAGGATAGAAAACTGCATTGCTAAAACAGGTAATTAGATTATGTCGTGGTTGCTGACGAGGGAGGGAAAATGTCATTGCTGACGGCGTTGGGATCGGCACGCGTCTCCGCATCATGCGTGTTACGTGATAAGACAAGGCTGAGTGAGCCGCAGCAAAATGGGGAGAAAGTTTAAGATCTCAGCGACAGAAGATTCCAGCGATTATTGTGGTTGGACAACATTTTGGGGGTTTGCACAAACGCCTCTGATGTCAGCAAACATCGATCAACGAGCACGTAATATTATTATCTTCAATCACGGTCACCTCAAATGTCTCTGTAAGATCTTTATTTCCCATCTTACCCCGAAGCTCCGTTACAATGTCATTGATCTGACCTCGCAAGGACACCATCTTTTCAATTGAGGCCCATTATCTATCGCTGGGACCTGATTGCAAAGTCCCCTTATCTTGTTTTTATTCTTGAGTGGTTGCACAGCTTACATGGCGTAATCAAGCACGTCAAACCAGTTACTGCTGATTGCTTCCCTTGTGCCGTATCTAGGTCGTGAAACCGCATTTCAGGTATGGCTTTTTTCCACGATAAAAACGGGCTTGATTCTGGCGGAACGTGACATCATCTCACCAGAAGATTCTAACGAAACCGTCCCTGAATCAGGGACTCGTCGGTTTGCTCGTATTTCCTGTCAAACCAACACCTCGGCACCGTAGCCAAGTGATTCTCCGCTGATCCGCAAGTTTCTCTTATCCTATACCAAAGCAGATCTATCATGTCTCATCTAAGTCTTATGCAGCTGATTTCCGTTCCGATTGGTGGCAGACGGGTAGGTATCTAGGCGGCCGAGGTCCGGAGTAAGATGGAGTCTTTAAGATGTCCGGACTCCGCTGCCGTCGGCCGGTACCTTTTGTATTGAAAGTCCTGCATACACAGGTAGCCTTTCCCGTTGAAGGCGTATCTCATATGACTGACGGCCGGGACCGGAGTAACTCCCGGTTCATTTTGAATCTGAAGCCTACGTTGAATGATATCGCAATGTTTATACAAGATTTATACCGGTGACATGTTACTGTTCTGTTTGAATGTGAAACAGCAGTCCTTGGAGAATTAAATCCTGAGGATCGAGACAGCTGGTAATCCAGGACTTGTGGAAGTAAATGCTGTAGGGGAGGATCCTAAAAGAGCTTTCTGATAATACTACTGGTCAGCATAGATAGTATAATGGTCATAAATCCTTTGTAATGGGCAAAAGGGCTGTCAGCCAGCCGCTTACCGTCCTACCACGCCGACATGATGGGCTTAGACTAGACCACAGATGGCGTCTATCTCCCAACCCTCCCACTCACGCGGCTCCTAAATTACCCCTTGGCAAAAAGAGAAAAGGCAACCACAGTTGGCTTCATATATGTATCAAACAAGCAAACTCAAGTCCCCCCCAAACCAACAAAGCCAAGCACCTCGCAAGTCTTCAACAGAAACCATGTCCGAGACTCGGTCCGCAAAGCCCGTCCGGCTGCGCCTCGCTTGCGACGCTTGTACGACAGCCAAGGTCCGCTGCAGCAGGACTCACCCCTGCGAGCGCTGCGAGGACAACGGGCAGGCGAAGGAGTGCTGCTACAGCGCTTCGCGACGACATGGCAAGCGGGCGCGACAGAGGAAGAGTGCGCAGGATAGTAGTGGTAGTAGTCTTACGACGCAATTTACGAATGCGTGGGAGGATTACAGTACATACTCGGCTGGCGATCTTGAGATGCTGGACAGTTGGGCGTCGCGCAGTGTCGACGTCACTGTTGACTTTGACGATGGGAACGGTATATCTTGGGTTGACCCGTGGAAGTCGCTGGGTTTTGTGTCGGATACTACTGCGTCTCAGTCGAGTGGTATGGTATCACCTGATTTGAGTCTATCGACTGAGCCGATATTGTCGATCAAGGCGCCCGAGCCAACAGCCATGCACTCTCACAATTGCGAGGCCCTTGCTCTGAAGGTGTTGAGATCGCTGCAATGCAACACCAATACCGACCAAAGCATCTGCAAATCTTCCCCCATTCCCCAAAAACAAACCTTTTCAACACCATCCATCGACACAGTCCTGTCCGTCAACAAAGCCGCTCTCACAAACCTCATCCCCCTCCTCAAATGTCACTGCGCACGGAACCCCCATATCGCAATGCTACACAGCGCAATCTTATCAAAGGTTATTTTCTGGTACAGGGTTGCAGTCACAGCACGGTATCACGCCGACGGAGTCGAACTACGACCTATGAAGATCCAACTTGGTATGCTGGATCTCGATGATGAGGATCAAGCTACGCTGCAAAGGACTGTTGTTTTGAGAGAGTTGAGAAAGGCGGAGAAGGTCATGGAGACGTTTGATTCTTTCGCTGGAGGGGATGATGGCGGGTTGAATTGGCATGTTGTTGCTGTGAGGAATATGAGGGAGGAACTGCAGGGAATTATCCAGAAGATCAAGAAAGGTCAAGGCGAGCTGATGTGAACATTTTGGTTCTTTGCATCGTGTAAAAGGTATATAAAAGGCTGAATTGCTTGATTTACGTCATTCCTTTGGGGTTCTACGGAGATCTTTAGACATGTAGCTCAGCAACTTGCTAGACGCACTGCAACTATCATCCACAATCACTACAACTAGGTTTTAACTGATCTTGTCCTCATTAATAGTACATGCGTTGATGTTTTTGGCGAGTGTATGTTCAGTAAGCCCTTAAGCCTCACTGTCGTCATCAGGTGCAACATGAACTAAGTTAATGCCGGCCCTTTAACAGCCCGAACACCGAGCTTTGCGTGGCGCCACAACGTCCTTTGCCTATTCCATTGGTGTGTTCCATTGCACTATGACAGTGGTAATAAATTACATTCAATTTTGTTTTGCCTTGGTCACTTGATATCCCATGTGATTATGTATCATGTGATACAGCATGGCACAATATGAGTAGCTACAGTCTCATCCTTCCGCGCTTTTACAGTTACATCCGGCACAGATAACGTATTCATATCTCTGTTATAGGATTGGTTGGCAGCTGCGGGTGCATGCGTGCCTGGAATTCGGAAGCCGAAGCATATCTGACTGAACGCTGATCATGTCTTACGTTTCAGCGGAATAACAGCACGGATATTGTGAGACTTATCAAGATGCTGATGCATAAATGTTCAAGCAGACATCCGGTCCAGACCTTGATTTCTACCCGCTCTACATGAAGCCCGGCGCCAGGGTTACTGGATTGGGACAGTATCTGACGTGAGGGCCTGTTGTTTCCTCAGTGTTGTCCGAGTGAGGAAACATCCTGCGGCAGATGTACCTATGCCCTCTCGTACCAAGACTTTGATGTACCTGATAAGGCTAGACTATATGATGCATCCATCATTTTCATCAAGCTAGTAGACGAACTGTGTGGTGGCTTATTGAAAGAGTCCTTGCACATGTGCCGAGCCTAACGGTTCCGAGCTACTTTCTCTTTCTTGTCTTGAGCCCTCATTTTTGTTTTCTTTTTTTATCGCCGTACCCATACGAGAGGAAGGCATTTGATCCCTGTTTCGGCCTCGCTTTTCAACACAGTCGCGAGAAATGTTGGCCGTCGTGCATATAGCGGGGCACTCATCAGGCACGCATCAAGTTACACAGACACAAAATCGGTAAGGAATAGTCCCGGACTCCGAGACATTTCCCTCTGCATGATTCACTGAGCATTCTGTCATTATGAGGGGTCCTTCTGAGTGGTTGGTCGATCAAACAGTGCCATGGCTGGAGGCGCGGAGACTAACACCATGACAATAGGCCTTAGCTCAAGCCATGTAAGCCGTGTTTGCTTCTTCCATACCACCCCAACATAAAAGCCGTATCTACGTTGCTTAGCGAACATCTCTTCTCCTCTTCGCATTCTCCCCTCACCCTCATCTTGCATCTCATTCTCTCAAACATACACATCAAAATGGCTTCACTTGGAAAATACGTCTCCAAGCTGGCAGGATCTCGCGTCCTCGTCATCGGCGGTTCGTCAGGAATTGGCTTCGGCGTCGCAGAAGCAGCGATCCAAAACGGCGCCTCTTCTGTCTTCATCTCCTCGTCTTCCCAGACAAAGATCTCCAGCGCCATTGAGCGCCTCAAAGAGAACAACCAATCTGCCAAGGCTCAACTTCACGGGTTTCCCTGCAACTTGGGCTCTCCTGACACACTTACCTCTGAGGTCGAGAACCTCTTCGCCGAGGTCGCCAAGTCTGGCAAGCTAGACCACGTCGTCTTCACGGCTGGCGACAAGCTCGCAGTTGGGAAGCTGGAGGATTTCACTCTCGATGCAATTCGTCAAGCTGGCACGGTGCGCTTCTTCGCACCACTTGTTGTCGCGCAGCAACTCCGCAAGCACCTGAACGAAAGTGGATCTTCATCATTCACCGTCGCTACTGGTGGTGCAACAGAGCATGTCTCCAAGGATTGGTCCATCATGTATTCTTACCTGTCTGGCCTTCGCGGCATGATCCGTGGTTTGGCAGTTGATCTTGCGCCGATTCGAGTTAATGCTGTTGCGCAGGGCCCAACAGACACTGAGATCTGGAGCTACGTCAAGGAGATGGGGTATTGGGATAATGTGACTGGGCACTTGAAGGGAAGAATGACGACGGGTGAGATTGGAAAGGTTGAGGATGTTGTGGAGGCGTATTTGTACTTGATGAAGAACAAGAATACCTCTGGTAGTGTTGTTGAGACTACGGGAGGAACATTGTTGTCTTAGAAGGTCAAGAGGGGGTTGTAGGGTAATTGGCATCAAAACAACATGAATCAGAACACATCACAATACTCCACGATTAACCTTTAAAAATGAGATGTACCGTCTTCCTCGCTAAATTATGAGATAAATTATTTATTTGGACGCAACCAATTACCCGTAGCCCTCAAAAAGCGATAACGGCAGCACTGAGTTAGCGTTTCTGCAAACTCTCCAGGTAGTCAACCCCACTAGAGAATGGAAGATAAGACGGCAGACACTACGGCAGAATGCATCAGATATCAGCTGCATTTACCCGCGACGGGAATCAAAGCATAAGCAGCCTGACCTAGAAATAAGCTCGTAAACGCCGTGAGACGTTTCACATCAAAATCATTGGCTGCATCATTCTCGCGCCTCGGCACTAAACCCGCTTCTCGGACACTGTGAAGCTACGCCTCTTTCGGCCTCTCGCTGTTGACTTTCGCTGTTCGGATTTTAGGCCCTCAAGCTCCGACCGCGTAAGTCGTGCAACACAACGCGATGCAATGTGATGACATGAATGAGGCTTCACTGATGGTCTTGACGCTTGGTTTACCGTCATTCTGAATTGACAAAGATGGATGGTGAATTATCTCATCGCAATGTTTTCCCATTTGCGCAATCGCCTTTTAGTGAATCGCCGTCAGGCACTCTCATCACAGATCAGAGCTGCCAGCACGATGAAAGAAGCTATTATATCGCGTGGACCAAGAGTCCACATCATTGACAGCCCGATACCCAAAGCGGGGCCTGGACAAGTTGTTGTCAAGATTGAGTACGCTGGTAGTAATCCCAAGGATTGGTGAGCACCCTCGGCCTCATTCATAACCATGCTGACACTCTGAAGGAAGCGACCCGAGTACTGGGGAAGCAAGGCGACCATGAACCAGGGCGATGATCACTCTGGAACTGTCTATGAGGTCGGGGAGGGAGTGTCTGACTTCAAAATCGGTGATCGCGTCGCGGCTATGCACGAGGGGAAGCAGCCTGGCGGGAGTTACGCTGAGTATGGTGTAAGCTGGGCATACACCACCATTCATCTACCGGAACACACTACTTTTCAGGGTAAGCAGACAGTATTATGTGCTTCTATGGATGCTGTTGGCTGACGTTGTAATTGCAGAGGGCGCTGCTATACCCTTCGCTGCATTCACCGCAGCTTGTGCCCTCTACGCAAAGCTCGATCTCCCCTACCCGACGCATCCAATCTCCGACGATCAAAAGATCCCTCTTGTGATCTGGGGCGCTTCATCAGCGGTTGGGTCCTACGCAGTTCAATTGGCAAAGAAGTCTAATATCCATCCACTCATCTGTATCGCTGGTCGTGCGCAAGAGCACGTCGAGAGAATGATTGATGGGTCCAAAGGCGACACAGTCATTGACTACAGAAAGGGACACGAGGCTGTCGCGCAAAAGATCAAGGCCAGCCTGAGAGGCCAAAAGCTAGAGTACGCATTTGATGCTGTATCTGAGATGGGATCCTACCAGACCATTTGCGATGTTCTGGACCGGGAGACTGGGAAGATCACTCTCATTATTCCTGCACAAAGCTATTCTGATATCCCAAAGACCGTCAAGAAGTCGGTTACTACGGTTGCTAGTGTACACGAAGATCTAAAGGAATTCGCCCGAGGGTTTTCGACGTACTTCGGTAGGGGGCTTCAGGACGGCTGGCTAAAGGCGCATCCGCAAGAGGTTGTGCCTGGGGGTTTGGAGGGGATAGAGAAGGGACTGGTAGATTTGAAGAGAGGAAAGGCTAGTGCGGTGAAGTACGTCTACAAGATTGCAGACACGCCAGGAATCGAGTCTACATGAGAAGTACCGTCGGACACGAGGCAGATAGAGTAACCATAGAGACAAAAGCAAAACATTTGAATGGATTAAATATTTGGGATTTATTACACCAATTCTTCAGTCGACTGTCTCTACAGCCTCAGTGCCTGATCCTCTCGCGCAAAGGATTGACATTCTGAGACCACCTACTTTTGACTACATCAGCGGCGCGCCTTTTTGCAAGAGACCAGTCTACAAACAGAGCACCCGGGGCTCGGCACCCGTGAAGAAAGAGGCGTAGATAAGATACCGTCACGGCACGGATCGATCCATGGCGTCGACAACAACGGAGTTCCAGCGCCACGGCCGCTGCACAGACACAAAGACGTAGCCAAATTGGGATTCGGACCCCGAAACGAACAACGAATTCTCGCCGTACGTCGCATTATCTATCTGGTTGCTCATTAGATATCATGCCTTGAAAACAATAAGCACAGTCATGGTGTCATAGAGTCGGAGTGTCTATATTGGCTTACACGGAGGGCTGAGTCGGACCACTTTGACATCCGTAGGCCGGTCAATTGCCAAGAGACTTGATTGAGACAACGAAGTAATTGAAACTGTATGGGGATGTCTTCGGGATCCATTTCGGGGACTCAAGTTGTACACAAACAGGTCAAGATTGTGGCGCCCTTGACAATAGAATGCCAAGAACACCAAGCATCGCCGGTCTACTTGGCTTCAAATAGAGGACTCGTCACATAATCTCACAAGAAGATCATCTTCTCGCAGTTTTCCCACACAAATCCATCCTCAATTTTCTCTCTGTAAACTAAGTTCGTTTGGCAATCATGACAAACACACAGACAAACGGCACTCGTCCCATCATCGATGAGAAGCCGAATGGCACTCTCAACGGTGATCATCAAGAATACCCAACCTTTTCCCAAGAAAGGCTCGATGACTCCATCAAGCGAGGCATCGACCTTCAAGTCTTTCGCTACCCCTCCACTGGTATCAACGTCATCATCGCAGGCGCCGGTCTAGGTGGTATCACTTGCGCTCTTGAATGCTGGCGCAAAGGACACAACGTTCGCATTGTCGACCGCAGTCCCAGTCCGGTTTGGACAGGCGATAATGTTCAGATCCAGCCCAGTGCCATCCTTCTTCTGCGCCACTGGCCTGATATGGGCTATGAGATTGAGGAGAACCAGTACGACGTCGACATGTCTTACTATAGACAGACTGGCGAGCGTATCTGGGGCCCAGCACCGCCTATGTTCAATGATCCAGAGCATTTACCCGGTCGTCGCGGGTTCCCCTCTGTCAATGCCCACTCACGTATTAAGTTGTACCGCGCGTTCTTGAAACAAGCGGAGCGCGTGGGCATTCACGTTGAATGGGGATGCAAGGTCGTTGAGTACTGGGAGGATGTTGAAGGTCGTGCTGGGGGCGTCGTTCTTGAGAATGGCGAGAAGAGAACGGCGGATATCGTTGTTGCAGCTGATGGCTTGAGGACCAAGAGCATGACTATTGTTCCTGGCATGCCGGATCAGCTGACGACGAGTGGAAAGGCCATTTATCGTGCGGGTTATCCTGTTGAGCATGCGCTTAAGGATCCCACGGTTCGAGAGATGTGGAACTTTAAGCCTGACGATAAGCCAATCTGGCAATTCTGGCTTGGGTGAGTATTCTGCAGCCGATGAACGAGGATGTACTGACATTTGCAGAAATGGTTCTCACAACATGATGTGCTTAACCCACGATCTCGCGTTCTGGAGCTTCATCCACTCAGTAAGCCACCTCTCCCCAACTCCCGACAAACCACTAACAGACCGCTAGCACGCCGAATCTGCTAGCGAGTCCTGGATCCCAGACATCGACCCAGCAGAAGTCATCACCGAGATGGAGAAGAACGACGCCGTCCATCCCGCAATTGCAGCCCTGATCCGCACCGCCCCCAAAGGCTCCGTCGTGAACTGGCAGCTCAAATTCCGCGACCCCCACGAGCAATGGACATCCCCCGGCGGCCACGTCGTCCAGCTCGGCGACGCAGCGCACGCATTCCTCCCCACATCCGGCAACGGCGCGACCCAAGCCATAGAAGACGGCGTGACCCTCGCAACATGCCTCCAACTCGCAGGCAAATCCCAAGCCGCCAACGCTACAAAAGTGTACAACAAGCTACGCTTTCAGCGCGTTAGCTGTGGGCAGAAAATGGGCTTCGTGAACCAGCAGCTCAAGCAGCACACGGATTGGGACGCGATCATGAAGAATCCGGCGCTAATCAGATCGCGATACCCCAAGTGGGTTTGGTCGCATGATCCGGAGGCGTATGCGTATGAGAAGTTTGCTGAGGCGTTGACGCATGTTGTCAGTGGGGGAAGGGTTCCGTTGGTGAATACGAATTTTCCGAAGGGGCATAAGTATAGACATTGGACTATGAAGGAGGTGCAGGAGCAGATCATGGCGGGACAGAAGTTGGAGGATCTGCAGGATGGGGATTGGTCTTAGATGTGTACAAGTGGTAGTTAATAGGTTGAAGATTTTCAATTGAGTGTGATTAAATACTGCGAATTAACGCTCAAGAAGTTGGTTATTCTTTACCGTGTCTTCAATATCGCCTCGCGACAGAGGATGTACCTCGTGAGCCCAATGCAATATTCTCGGACTGAAAACCATCGTCATAGCCATCGTGCATCACTCTTCCATGTCGCCGACTTCATCGATCCCTCAGTCAACATCAAATTGGGAAAAGGTGTGAGTGAAACACCACACTGGTCTTGGTGATTACTTCAGACAGACTTCCACGTTGACTAGCCGTCATTTCATATATAATATCATAGCAAGTATCACGCCCATCGAGAGAAGCGAAAGTACGGCAACAGAGATGTCATTGAGATCTTATCTATAAAGCTTTCTAGAACCACGCCGCCTGCTCCGGAGACTCATCAAGCATAGCCTCAATGACCGACAACTCACTCCCGGCAGGTCTCTCAATCGCCTGTATCTTCAATCGCGGATCAGCATTGGTAAGCAGGGCCTTCCACTCCTCAACCTCGCGCTCCTGAGCATTGAAGCACTGAATCATGGTGAGATCCTTCTGTCGAAGCGCTGCTTCAAATGTCACAGACCCAGAACCTGGCTTTGGCAACACCATGTCCATGATCAGCAAGCGACTGGACGGACCCATGGCTGCGACGATGCCTTGTATGATCTTGATAGCATCTGCGTCGGGCCAGTCGTGGAGAATGGTGCGCAAGAGGTAGACATCGGCGTTTTTGACGGGCTGGGGAGTGAAGAAGTCGTAGGCCTTGATCTCAATACGAGACGCGATGTCTGATGGTAACTCAGACAGGCGAGTCTTGGCGTTCTCAATAGGCTCTGGGAGGTCTTCGATGACGAGATTGAGTAACGGGAATGCTGTCGCCAGCATGATTGACGTTGAACCACTACTCCCTCCAATCTGTATACCATCAGCATGAAACTGCGGACAATTGTGATGGGAACTTACATCAACGACTTGCGCTTGTCCCAAGGCCTTCCAGTCAAAGGCGTTCAGAAGATGCTCGACATTAGAGCCAGTGTGCGACACCGCACGACTCTTCATATAAGCCTGGAAGCCTTCATTGAGATCAGGCCGCATCTTTAAGTGCTCAAAGAACGACAGCTCAGTGCCATGAATAATATTGTAAGCCGTCTCATTAGTCGCAGACGTCTCGCCCCATTTCCACGTAGCTTGGATCAAGCCCGTCATAAGAGGAACAGTCTGATTGAAGATATGAAGAAGCTGCGTCTTCATATGTACATTCGTAACGAACTGCGCAGAAAGGGTATTGTGAGAAAGCTTGCCATCTTTGGTCTCGCACAGCAAACCCGTGGTCATCGCCATGCGTGCTACGGACTGCAGCTTTGACAGCGGGACTTGAGCCGTGGTGGCGACATCAGAGTAGGCGATAGACTCTGGGGGCTGAGGAATGTATGAGAGGATGTTGAAGTGGCAAAGCCAGGCGATGCAGTGATACTGCTGTTGCTGCGCGACTAGCTCAGTGAGGAAGCTGTGAGGATCATGCACGAGGCGTTTGACCTGCGTAGCATGCTCAATGACAGCGTCTCTATCCGTCTTGTCCATCTTGCACTCGATTCTGACTGCTAGTGTAAACACAGAAGTATTCAATGCGATAGGATCAAGCTTTATGAGAGATGACGAGATCACGCGGCGTCCGAAGTCCTTAGTCGCCGTGGAGTTCCCGAGCTGAACCGACCTGATTCCCGAGATTCGGACGCCGTCTTACAAGTCTTGATACAGGAACATGGCTGATATTCTGTACGACAAGAGCGGTAATATGTCTGTTTTGGGTCAGACGTGCATTATCTGGGCATGATGAGGCTCAGTGTCGGGAATGAAACCTCTTTGTTGACGTCGGCGATGGGGGCCGCTGATGATGGTATGCAGAAGATTGAGAGTCTGATATGCCGGACTCCGAGTAAGACGATGAAGATCTCTGATAGAAGATGACGGCGAGATAAGGTCAATAGAAGGAATGAGCGTGATGTGAAGGTAGATAAAAGAGGCATCATCTCATCAAAGCCAAGAGAGAGAGAGAGAAGTAGCTATAGACAAAACATCATAGACTTCAACCAAAAACATCTACAAGATTCAACACCTTTGTCATGGTATCCCACATGAAGCTGTACCTCTTCGGAGACCAAACCTTTGAGGTCCAACCTCACTTACAGCACCTCCTCCAGAAGCGCGACAATCTCTTTCTCCATGAGTTTCTGAACCAGAGCTACAATGCCCTTCGCGCTGAGCTCTTCAAGATCCCGTATAGTATCAGAAAGGATCTCCCGCGGTTTACATGCCAGGAGGATCTTCTCCTCTGGGATCAGAGTGGTCCGCGATGCGTGGCGCTTGATATGGCGATGACGACTTTGTATCAGCTCGGTACATTCATTAGGTAAGTCACTGACCCTTCAATTAGACCTGGAAGAGTGTTAACTGTTAGTAGTCAAGCGGGTATTTCCTCGTATGATGCGCAGAATACAAGGGTCGTTGGTCTCTGTACCGGCGCTTTTGCAGCTGCGGCTGTTAGTTGCAGTAGCTTCACTGCAGATCTGATCCCCATGGCTGTTTCGTCCGTCGTCGCAGCCTTCCGAACAGGTCTTCTCGTGACTGATACAGCTCGACGAGTTGATCCGAGCCAAGACTTGAATAGGAGCTGGGCTCTTCTTGTCCCGGGCCAAAAGGCAGCCAAAGCCTTCCAGGAGTTCTGGGATGCCAATGTAAGTACCATACACTGAGATAGCAATTCGATACTAATGTGTAATATTTTAGGACGGCGGTGTCTTGACTAGCAGGCCTTATATCAGTGCCTATGCACCAAATGGCATCACTGTTAGTGGTCCGCCACAGCGTCTTGGCGATCTTACGCATTGGCTTGCTTCCAAGAGCATCACGTCCAAAGCTATTCCCATCTTTGGCGCTTACCACGCACCGCATCTGTACTCTCAGAAAGACGCTCGACGGATCGTCGATGGCTTAATGCTCAACAAGGCCGTGTCACCATCTGAACAGATCCCTCTTCTGTCTAGTACAGGCTCTAAGCCTGAAGAGCGAAGCTTCGCGACACTCTTGGAAGATGCCATCGCTCAAGCCCTTCTTCATCCTCTCCGCTGGAGCTCGATCTTTGATGATGTCCAAGCTGCTCTTGAGGCTGCTGGGTCTCAGCAGTTTAGTGTCCAGTCGATTGGTTCAAATGCTGAGCATCTGATATACACTGCCCTCAAAAAGACATCCCTTCGTTATCTCGTGCCAGAGACAACCATGCCCAGCCGATCAACCAGTGTCCCAAGCGTTCCTGACACCGGCACGAGTAAGCCAAAACTTGCTATCGTCGCCATGTCCGGCCGCTTCCCTGGAGCAAAGGACAACGAAGCCTACTGGGATCTTCTCTACAAAGGGCTCGACGTCCACAAGCCCGTCCCTAGTCTTCGCTGGGATCAGCAAACACACGTCGACCCTACCGGCGCAGGAAAGAACACGAGCGCTACACCGTTTGGTTGCTGGCTAGATGACCCTTCAGAGTTTGACGCTCGCTTCTTTAACATCTCGCCCCGTGAAGCGCCCCAGATTGATCCCGCGCAGAGGTTAGCTCTCATGACAGCCTACGAAGCGATTGAACAAGCCGGTATCGTCCCTGATGCTACGCCCTCTACTCGACCTGATCGCGTTGGTATCTTTTATGGTGTCACCAGCAACGATTGGATGGAAACAAACAGTGCCCAGAATATCGACACGTACTACATCCCCGGCGGAAACAGAGCTTTCATCCCCGGTCGCATCAACTATTTCTTCAAGTTCAGCGGCCCCAGCTACGCCGTCGACACAGCGTGTTCATCATCCCTAGCCGGTATTCATCTGGCCTGCAACGCACTCTGGCAAGGCGATGTCGACACTGCCATCGCCGGCGGTACGAACGTCTTGACCAATCCTGATTATCACGCTGGTCTTGACAGGGGACACTTTCTGTCGCGCACAGGGAACTGCAAGACCTTTGACGACGGCGCAGATGGGTATTGTCGAGGTGAAGGCGTAGCGACCATTATTATCAAGAGGCTTGATGATGCGATCGCGGAGAATGATCCGATCTTGGGTGTTGTTCTCGGCGCGTATACGAATCATTCTGCTGAGTCGGAGTCAATTACGCGGCCACATGTTGGTGCGCAGCGGGTTATCTTTAACAAGATCTTGAACGAGGCTGCTGTCGATCCTTATAGTGTCAGTTACGTTGAGATGCATGGAACGTAAGTATACTCTCCATATCCCTTTTACTTTACATGCTAATCGAATACATAGCGGTACGCAAGCTGGTGATGCCACCGAGATGGCCAGTGTCCTCGAGACCTTTGCACCACCACTGGCCGAAGGCAAAGTCGCCCGTGCAGAGTCTCAGAAACTCTACATCGGCTCAGCGAAAGCAAATATCGGCCATGGTGAAGCTGCCTCTGGTGTCTGCAGTGTGATCAAGGTCCTCCAGATGCTGAAGAAGAACACCATCGTTCCACACTGCGGCATCAAGAACAAGATCAACCATCGCTTTCCCACTGATCTCGAGCAACGAAACGTCCGCATTGCTATGGAGCCAACGCAATGGAAGAAAGGTATAGAGACAAATCCCAGACGTGTCTTTGTCAACAACTTCAGTGCTGCGGGAGGTAACTCGGCGCTGTTGATCCAGGACGCACCGCCTAGAAAACAGCTCATTGCTAGCAACGACTCTCGCATTCAATTCCCCATCGCCATCACTGCAAAGAGCGGCGTTTCCCTCCAAGGAAACATGCGCTCAATGCTCAAGTTCCTCAGCACAAACTCACACGTCTCCCTCGCCGAGCTCTCCTACACCACCACAGCACGTCGCATCCACCACCAACACCGCGTTCTCATCCCCGGAGCCACCCCCGAAGACATCTGCTCCAAGATCGAAACAGCTCTCCAGAACAACACTGGCGTCACGCGGCCCAAGGCTGCACCAAAGGTGGTCTTCACTTTCACTGGCCAGGGAGCGCAGTACCCTGGAATGGGAAAGCAGCTCTTTGAGGAGAACGAGTTCGTGCGCAATGAGCTTCTTTCACTTGACCGAATTGCACAGAATTTGGGATTTCCTTCTATGGTTCCTTTCATTCAATCTGATGAGCCTGATGTTAGCAAGTTTGCTCCTTCACTTGTTCAGCTTGCCAGCGTTTGTCTTCAGATTACGTTGAGCAAACTTTGGGCGTCTTGGGGAATTACACCGACTGCTGTTGTGGGACACAGCCTTGGAGAGTATGCTGCTCTTAACGTTGCTGGTGTTCTGTCGGACACTGATACGCTATTCCTTGTTGGTGGCCGAGCACAGCTTCTTGAGCAGAAGTGCACTCGCGGCACCCATGCCATGCTTGTGGTGAAGGGATCCCAGGAGGAGATTACTGAGGCGCTTAAAGGCCAAGAGTACGAGACTGCTTGTATCAACTCTCCCATCGAGACTGTTCTTGCTGGTCCGAATGAGCAGATCGCCAAGGTCAAGGAGCAGCTCACTGCGGCTAGCTTCAAGACCACTCTTCTCAAGGTCCCTTACGCTTTCCACTCATCTCAGTTGGAGCCAGTCGTTTCCGACATCGAGAAGCTCGCCAGCAAGGTGACCTTCTCCGATCCCAGGATCCCCGTACTATGTCCCTTGGAAGGTACCGTCATCGAAAACGCGAATCCCTTCAATGCCTCATATCTCGCCCGACACTCTAGACAGCCAGTCAACATGCTCACCGCATTGACTACCGCTTACCGCGACGGGTATCTCAGCGATCGCTCAATGGTGCTTGAAGTTGGTCCTCACCCAGCTGTCTCCGGCATGGTCAAGCCCACACTCGGCCAACAGATCACATGTGTCGCCTCTCTCCAGCGTAGCCGAGCACCCTGGGACATGCTCTCCGCAGCCCTCAAGAGTCTCTACGATGCTAGAGCCAGCATTAATTGGGCCGATTACCAGAGCAACTTCCCCGGCGCACACACAGTCGTTGATCTTCCGGCTTATAGCTGGGATCTCAAGGAGTACTGGATCCAGTACGTTAATGACTGGTCGCTGCGAAAGGGCGATCCTCCTTTGGTCATCAACAATGTGTCCAAGCTTGAGAGCACTACTATTCATAGTGTTGTTGAGGAGAGTGGTGACTCCAAGAAGACTCATATTGTCGTTGAGGCCGATATTGCTCGCAAGGATTTGAGTCCCCTCGTCCAAGGTCATGAGGTCGATGGGATCCCTCTCTGCACTCCATCTGTCTATGCTGATATCGCATTGACTCTTGGCAAGTATCTGCTCGAGAGGTATCAGCCAAAGCAGAAGGATGATATGGTTGTGGTCTCGGACATGACTGTCTCAAAGGCCTTGATCCTCCGTGGTGATGGATCTCGCCAGCCCATCCAGGCTCACGCTGAGGCAGACTGGTCATCTCAGTCCGTCTCAATCAAGTTCATGTCTTTCGATGTAAGTACCTTTTTCTCATTCCACGTTAGTGCTTATACTGAAAACCTTGCAGAACAAGGGCAACCTACAAGAGCACTCCGCTTGTGTAGTCCGCTTCAAGGACCGAAGCCAT